CCTTGACTTGGATGCCCAGCACGCCCTCCCGAGCAGCACAGGGCACACAGCAGTGTCACCGCAGCGGTGAACAGGGCTCCCGTGTGATCAGCAGACCAGCCACAAACGCTGCTGGGCCTCTGCCCTCGGGGTCTCCCAGAATCCACGGCCTCGCAGCCATGGTCCCCAGCGTGCAGGATGACCTGCAGCGCATGGAGCAGACCCCCCCACAGCAAACCTCCCCAGGAGTCTGTGTCGCAGACGCTGGGCCGGGCACTGGCACACACGCCTTTCCAGGGTAAGGCCCGTCACTGGCTGCAGGGGAGCCCCCTCTTCCGAGCCACAGCAGTGAGTTCCTGGATCAGCCGGCCCTTCTGCATCCTGGTGGACGAGACAATGATTTCTGGTCTGGTTGGCGTAACTCGGACCTCACCTCCAGATTCGCCCATTTCAGCCAGGCCCCGAGGGGAAATGTTCAGTTCAGCTCTTAAGATGCCATCAGCTGCAAAGCCCTCTTCTCGGAAATCTTAGCTCTTAAGAAGAATGGCGAGACCACTGAAGCAGGAGCGAGGCGGGATCGACACTGGTGGAGTGTGGATCCCAGCTCACGTGGTGGAGGGGTACAGCACAGAGTAGGGGCGCTCAGGGCATCCGGGGGGAGTCTGTTCGTTGACTGTTGCTGTAATTCAGACAAGCGGTGAAAACAGCCCGTCCTGAGTCTCGGCAGTGGGCACGGAGAGACAGGAGCATCTGAGAACTTTTTAGGAGGCAGACCCAGGGCACGGGTGACATGGAGGGTGGAGAGGTGAAGATGCTTTTGCTTGGAAAATGTGGGGCAAATGGTGCCATCTTCAACCAGCTTTGTGGTGAGCACAGACACGGTTCCTCTCAAGTCACGTTGGGCTGGAGGAGCTGGTACCTGGAAGACTACTGGACAGGTAGGTGTGCAGTTGCAGAGACAGACCCGAGCTGCACTCATGCGCTGGGAACCTCTGCCACTTAGACACCACTGGAAAGATGGGTGTCGATGACACGGCCGGGAGATGAGCAGAGCAAGACGGACCTGCCAACAGGTCGGCACTGAAGAGCGCAGGGAACGGCGCTTTCAGCGGAAACCAAGCAGGGGTGGGGGACAGAAAGGAGGAGATCCAGAAGAGCACGTTGTCTTGGACCTTTAGAGGGGAAACGGCAGCCTTGGGAAAGTCCTAGAACTCAAGTAGGAACTGAAGACAAGGAGGCTGACTGCGGGGACCTTGGCAAGGGGAGCGGCAGGAAGGAAGGAATGTCAGGATGTGGGTCAAGGAAAATCGGGAGGGAGAGTGAATGTGAAGAAACAAATGACAACGTGGGAGAAAGTCACAGGGTGTCCAGGAAGCCGGGAGGAGATGAATGACTGCACCCATGGGGGCAGTGGAGCGTGATCCCTGTCCTCGTGGACAGGCTGGTGGCCTGCAGGTAAGTCTGTTGGCAAGAAACCAAGATTGCTGCTGGCTAAGGAGGCCATTTGTTTTCTCTGGGGTCCAGATGTTCATTTGTTCATTTGCTGAGAGTGTGAAGGGGGGGGTGGTGCCACTGGAGGTCTGAGGACAGTGTGAAGCTGCCAGGTGGTTGCTTGGGGAGGGAGGGGACTTAGGAAACAGGAGCGCTGCCAGGCAGCCTGGGCCAAGAGCAAACCTCGCCTCCATGGTGATGTCAATCAGAAGGGTCCTGGGCTGTTCTTCAGCAGCCTGGGCACAGGTTCAGAAAATGTGGGTGAGTCGCTGGATCGGGGGTAGGAACTTTCGAGGGAGGCCCTGGCGGAAAGGGTGTAGGCCAGGGGAGCTGGAGGTATTGGCAAGGAAATGGTTGAAGGGTTGGTATTTGGATTGCAGTTGACTGTGGAGGCTGTGAATACGGGGGGTGGTGCTGAGGGGGAGAGAGAAGGGGACTATGGTGAGGAGCTGATGTAACAGCTCTGAGTGCTGGAGCTGTGGCTAAAAGGTGCTAGATTTAGATGAGTCCGTCCAGGTGGAACGTGGTGAAGAGGACAGAGCCCAGTGATGGGGCCATGGGACTGGGGATTGGCATTTGGGGTGTTGGGGTGTCCTGGGCTGGCTCAGTGGGGCCCATGGGTTAGGAGCCCCATTAGGATAATGCCTCCTGGCTGCTCTGGGCTGTCTTGACAGTGTAGCTGCAGGACCAGTTTTGTTCAGAGCTGAGACTGATTTGCAGGATGAGGTGAAAGTGACTCGGGCCTCCCTTTACTGTTCATGGTTGCTGGAAAATGAAACAAGAACCCCAGAATCAAAAGTATGGGGGTAGTCTGCTGTCGACCCTGAATGATTTATGAATAGGGAAATAGCCGTTTCAGCATCTACTTCTAGAAGAAAAAGACCAGATAAAAATCAATTCATTAGATCAGATCGGATAAAAAGAATAAACTGTCAAATAATTTGCCAGATGGCAAAGATGGCAGTTCAGTCCTATGAAGGATTGGGGAGAGCTGGTTCTCTAGAAAATGGGGGACCCCTAGTCTTTCCCCCCCCCTTGATTTTGAATAAACCAGAAGGCTTTTTGGAGAGCGAGAATTTGGGTGATTTGAGGTTGGGTGGGAGAGAAGCCTTTTTATTTTACACTCTGGTACAATTAAATTACTTTCACAATGAGTAATAACTTTTCTGAAAAGATATTTTTATTGAAAGTGAACACTCAGGGGCCTCTCTGATGGCGCAAGGGGTTGAGAACTGCACTGTGAAGCAATCCACAGCCTCTGCAGCATGAGTTCGATCCCCAGCCAGCCAGGGAGCAACCCACATGGCGCAGCAGACCTCTCCTGACTTGCCCATTGCTCCCCTCAGCAGTGTCTTCTGTCCATCTGCCTGTTCTGCCTCCTGCTCTGTCTCTGATGAATCCTATCACCGCCCCCCACCATCTCTGGCCTGTACCCCAGATCTTGTGTGCATAAATAAATAAATCTTAAAAAAAAAAAAAGACAGCAAGCTAACACTCAGATGAAGCAGAAAGAAAACAGGCAAGGGAGGGCTGGAGAGAAATGAACCAGGGAAGGGAAGGGGAAAGAGAGAGAACTCGGAGGGAGGAGAGAGGAGGGAAGAGAAATAATGACTGACTGAATGAATGAATGAAAATCATTAATCTAGAACAGGGATCAGTCAACTCTACCCCTGGAGCTAGGAGTATTTCTCCATCTTCAAATAGTTGGGAAAATATTTCATGATATATGAACATTTTTGATATTCAAATTTCAGCATCCACAGAATTTTATGGATTCACAGCCTTGTCCGTTCATCTGTGCGCTGGCTACAGCTGCTTTGTGGCAGAGCTGAGTCTGTGCAGTGAAGATCACATGACCCGCCAGGACGCAGACACATATTTGTCAATTTCTGTTCCAAAGGAATTCATGGAAATCCTTTTTTCTTTTTGTAGTTTGGTAATGGTCACCCCTCCATTTCTATCAGAGAAAATGACAGATTGAGAGGGGGAGATGTGTGTGTGTGTGTGTGTATAAACAGGTTATGTGTATGCTTGTAGTGATTTACTCATTTCTAGACCTGCTTTCTTGCTATTCTTATTTCTACCTTCTTGCTATTCTTTTTTCTTCTTTTAATCAACTTTTTGGGACCAGTGTTAAATTCATAGCTAAACAGAACAGAAAGTAAAAAATTACAGCAAATCCATATTCCCCCTGATCTTCGCCCCCACCCCACCTCCTACACTATCAACATCCCCCACCAGAGGGGTGCATTAATTACAATCATTAAACCTGCACGGATACATCATTATCACCCAGAGCCCATTGTTTACATTAGGGGTCACTCTTGTACCTTCTTTGGTTTTGACAAGTGTATAATGACATGTATCTAGCATTGTAGTATCATACAGAGTGGTTTTGTTGCCCTAAAATTCCTCTGAGCTTTACTTATTTATCTCTTTCTCCCTTCTAGCCCCTTGGCAATCATTAACCTTTTTTCTGTTTCTCTAGCTTTGCCTTTTCCAGAAAGTCCTATAATTGAACCATAGAGCAAGTAGCCTTTTCAGATTGGCTTCTTTCACTTAGTACATGCACTTAAGGGTCTTCTGACTACTCTTTCTGATATTTGATTAAAGACTAGTGGTCCTGGATAGTAATTGCCAAGGGCTTCTGATAAGATGGAGGATATTATCTTTTCAGAAATACTCTTGCTGAGAGTATGGTATAAGGAGAAGGAAGGATCTGCTCTCAGTGTCCAAAGATGGAAGATGAACCAGTGAATCCCACTTGATGGAGGAAGAATCCACTTAACAGCAGGCAGGAGTTTGCTAAGTGGTGACTGTACATTTGGAACCAGAGGAATGGGTAGGGGTTAAAATAACACAACTTCCTTAAGAGCTGTTCCCCCCATTCTCACCTAATACTTAATCTCTAAATACATGTGTCCCCCATTTAAATAATCTTGATTTAAAAGGCGTCAAATTATTAGCCAGCCTGGAGTGCCCACATGTCTTGAAACAGACCAAGATGTATAACATTATTAACATGCTCCACCAGCTTTGGAGGATTGAATTATTATTATTCCAGTCTTTATTTTTACTATAGTCAAAGTTTTGGTGGATTTTTAGTTTTATTTTTTCCAGGTTGGTAATTCATGGTTTACAGCATCAAGGGAGGCCACCGGGGAACATCTTTGGGCATCTTTTCATCATTTGAATAACTCCATCTACCAGAAGTGTGTTGTTGTCAAGTGGTCATTTGATTTCCAGAGTTTTACCTCTGTCAAAGAGTTAATCTGGGAAGAGGGGGGCAGGAGGTGTTCACAGATGATACTGATTATATTATAAGCACCATGTGCTCAATTATGAGTCTCTAGCACTGATTATACTCCTAACTGAATGTGTAATACTTACATTACAGTACTTGCTACTTTTATTCAGTCGCGCAGACGTTATTGAAAATGTACTGAGGTCATGGTGTGGCAGAGGGTGGACAGGACCCAGTCTGTTCCTGGCACATGGAAACATCTGTTGCTTTTTTTGCTGTCTCATAGGTCCAGTTGAGTCCAGGCCTTGGTGTTAGAAATGGCGAGCTTTCCCATATGAATGGCACCACGAGAGCTGACACGCTTCCCCAGGGCTCCAGGCTGAACCCAGTCTCGGCAGGGAGGACCCTCGAGCCAAGAAGCCGAAGGAGCCGGGGCAGGAGGTTCAAGGCGGGTTCTGTAGAGCTCCCCGAGACCGGTGGGTGCCCAGCGTTAGCAGCTTCTAAGAACACGTCATGGAAAAGCCCTGGCTGCTCACCCCAGGCCTTGACCCAGCTGCATCTGCCTTCTCCCCCGCTGGAAAGTGGAGTCAAAATGAAGGTCCTCCACAGGGAAAACAGCTTCGAGAGACTGGAGGCAGAGACAAATGTGGACACGGGGTTCACAGTAGTCAATTCTGAGCCGGTGCAATCTTTCCTGAGCCGATTTCCCAGGGGTCTTTGCGCCAACCAGCCGCCATCTTACACGTCAGCTTCCTCCCTAGGGGCAGCTGCCTCCCAGCATGATGGCAGCATTAAGGAAAGGGCCCATATTTTGTCACTTGCTCGCCAGAGGGAGCTGGGTCCAAGGAAGATCACCTCCAAATGCCCCCTTCATCAGCCAGTCCAGAGCGAAGAAAAAGAAGAAGAGGAATTCTTTATATAGCATCAAACCAGTGTGGTTTCCTGAAACACAAGATCACATACATGTTCTAGACATGGAGCCTTGGTCCAGAAGCAGACCGTTTCTTATTTATTTAAGGGGGGGTCTGCCTGAATACTAGCCACGAACAGATCTGTATTGCTTTTATTTCAAATGTTCACGTCTAATGGTGCTGGGAGTGCGTGTTTATTTGTCTTCGTGGCCATAAGGGAACGCAAATAATGCACAGGGAAGAAGCCCAGCGCCTCCTGTCCTTGGAGACACACTAACTCAGCTGGGCAGGTTGAGTTCAGCACCTATCTGGATAATTGCATTGTATGCAGATGCGTTGGAGGTGTTATGCAAAACTGATTAGTGTATGTAATTTGGGTTAATTTTTTACTTGGGTAGCATAGTTCATCCCCCTGGACAGCATGGACTGTTTATTCTTTAGTGTTTTTTTAATTTTTACGTGACCTCCTTTCATAATGAGGTTCTGTTCCCTCCATACCCACTTGCGATTTTGCCTTTCAAGTTGTTTGCCTCTGGAATGAGTTAACATGCAAAGTGTTTTGAAAATTACTAACAATTTTTTTCCTGTTTAATGAGTACAACACTGGAAGCTAAAAAAAATCAAAGTGAGGCTCTAGGTGTTTCCTGTGTCTCCATTTTTCTTTTGTTTCTGTGCTACAACAATGGGGCTGGTAGTTCACATTATTATCTAGAGTGAGATTTGACAGGATCATATGGTTGGAAATCTCCGGTAAGTATGACGGGAAGTATGGATTGGTCGAGTTAATGGAACAGGTTTGGGTTCTTCTCACCATGGGTGAACACGCCAATATCTTTTTTAAAATTTTTTTATTTTTATATTCCCCAAACAATTGCAACCCCTTTATTTTGACCCCAATCCCTCCCTCCCCGCCCCCCTCCCCTCATAAAGTGTCTCTGGTTCATAGTTGTTTGTTGATTATGATTTTCACTTTCTTATAGTTATTCATTTTCCTGGTCCCTTATTTAAGTTTTCTAGATTCCTGCTATGAGTGAGACCATCCGATATTTTTCTTTTTCTTTCTGGCTTATTTCACTGAGCATGATCCCTTCCAGGGCCATCCATGTTGCTGCAAATTGCATGTGTTTATCTTTTTTGATTGCAGAGTAATATTCCATGGTGTATATGTACCACATCTTCTTGATCCAGTTATCTATTTTTGGGCATTTGGGTTGTTTCCAAAGCTTAGCTATTGTAAACAGTGCTGCTATAAACATAGGGGTGCAGGTGTTCTTTGGAGTTGATGTTTCTGTGTCCTTTGGGTAAATACCTAGGAGTGGAATTGCTGGATCATATGGAAGCTCTATGTTTAGTAGGTCAAGAAATCTCCACACAGCTCTCCATAGTGGTTGGACCAGTTTGCACTCCCACCAACAGTGCAGGAGAACACGCCAATATCTTAACAATATTCATTCACCCATCCACTTATACACTCATTCATTCCCTCAACAAATATTTATTGAACACCTACATTTGAATAAGACACTGATATGTGATGCACATACATTCATGGCCATCAGCTCCCCCAAAGTGTTTCGTGTTTATAGTTTCATTAGTGTGATAAATCCATCCCACCAACTCTTAAGAATATGCTGAAGTCCAAACTTTTTCTTCTGAACAGATTCCCACACTGATTGCACAAGGCTGTTGTAAGCATTCACAACTTGTAAGATGGTGTCTGAACATTTTATGAACTAAAGTCATAATCATGAACAGATTCTCAGTTGCTCCTAGGTTGCATTTCTTGGAGGTTTATGTGCATATTAAAAATATCTGAGGTCTGTGTGTTTCAGTTAATGTATAAGTTTATTCAACTCCATGAACTTGGTTCTTCTGAGCAGATGTTATATAAGTCTCTAAACACTGTTTTAACTGGATCTTTTGAAGACCTTGGTACTTAGCACACCCAACTGGAGAGAAAGACATTTTCAGGACTAAGGACATATGGTGCAGCGCAGAGACGGGCTAGTGTGAATTCTCTGATCAGAAAAAAAAAAAAAAAAGAAAAACAGGAATGTTGAAAAGTGGACAAAGTCAACACTTCTAAATTGATGTTTTTGTCCTTACAACATTAATAAAATCTAATCAACAGATTACAATAATACCTTATAAAGTGGAATGGAGTATGAAATTTTTATATGGATTGCTATAAAAGTTTTTTTTTTTTTTTTTAATGAAAGGCTTATGTAAGTGGAACTATGAGTTGCCTTGAAAGTCCCAGAAGGGGAGTGCTGAATTCTCTGTCCACTTTTTGAACGTTTCCTAAGTTGCTGTAGCATAATACAGGAATGACGATATAAGTGCATGGAAATCATGACAAATATGGAGAAACTTGAGTGAGTGCCTTCAAATTGGCTTGGTAAGTAACACACTCTTAAAATGTCCCTCACTCTAATCTCCTTCAACATAGCTATCTGGCTTACAACATGAAGGGCTAGAGCTGCCAATGTGCTTGGCAGGGGAAGCTCAGATTTTGGTCTCAGCTTTTAAATTTACTACTGATGGCACCCTGAACTCATCAGAGTTGCTTATTTACCATAACAAAGGGCTGTTAAGGGATCAAGAGCTTCATAGGAGGCATCTGGTGATCACTGAGCACTACAGATACGTGAGAGAGTTATTGCAAATGATCCTTCCGACACATGTTTTATTAAAATGTCATGGCAAAAGAGATTTTGTGGGAAATAAGTTTTGGTAAAATCAATGATAACAAAAAATACAATGAGACAGTGATTACAACTAAACAATAAGGTTTTCACGGTGGGGCCCGTTCGTTTATGTTCATATATTTCTGAGGAAAATATGGACAGGAAGAATAGAGTTGATCATAAGACTCAAAAGAGAATGTATGAAAGGGGTTAACTATGAACTAGTTAATCAGTGAACATTAATATTCAGAACCCTATTTAAATGAGGTTGGGCATCTAGAGTGTGCCCAGGCCTGCACAAGTTTGCAAGCTGCAGAACCCAGCATGCATTGCATCCCCTAGGGAAGGCAATGCTGTTTCTTCCTCTGGTGGAACTAAGGGAAAGAGCCTCCAGGGGTTATTTAGGGGGATGTTGATCTTGGATTGGGGAAGTGCGTGTTGGTTCTTGTGGTGAATGCACCCCCCAATCTGCCTTTCAGTCTGTTGCTTTCAAATAAATCCGTTCGTCAACGGATGGCTTTTGTTTGAGATTGGTAACTTCATTTTATCAAATTAGTCAGACTCTTAATTATAATTATACTGTATTCCATAAAATGCAAAATGTGTCATGGTATAAATCTGAAGGATTCCTGGTAGGCAGAATGTTTTATTCTTTTTTTTTTTCAAAGATTTATTTATTTATGCATACAGAAGCTGGGGTACAAGCGAGAGATGGAGAGGGGGGTAAGAGGATTCACCAGAGACAGAGTGGGGAGCAGAACAGGCAGACTGAATGAAGTACACTGCTGAGGGGAGCAGCGGGCAAGACAGGAAAGACCTGCTGCACCATGTGGGTTTTTCTCTGGGCTGGGGATCAAACTCTTGCTGCAGAGGCAGCAATCTGCAAATTGCTTCATAGTGCGGTGCTTAACCCCTTGCACCACCAGAGAGGCTCTGTTTTATTTTTCTTTATAATTATGTCAAAAAATCAGTTGCATTGTAGTTGTCTGGTATTTTTAACTTTAGTAACCGTTTTTCAACACTTTTTCTGAGCATTATTTGGGTATTGTTGAGTGTTAATAGAAATGCTAACATTTGGGAATTTGCAAATGTGTGTCTTGGAGGGGAGTAGAGCTGGGGTTAGCAGTGGAGAGGCAAGGGAGGAACACTTGAGGCATGAAGGCTGGTGGAGCCAGGGTCTCAGCTGGACATTTTCCCTGCTCATCTGCCTTCAAGACCCTCCTTCCACCCGCTTCCAACAATCCGCTGGCCATTGCAGGTACAGAGGTGGTGCTGGCACAGAGGAGTGATGCTGCAAGTATGGGAAGAGGGGCCAGACTTCCTGCTTTCCAGCAGGTGGAGAAATTGGAAGGGAAGTCTGAGAGAAGAGAATGCAGTCACACACACACAGCCCATTTTCTTTTCTTTTCTTTTTATTTTTTTTTAAGATTTATGTATCTGCATACAAGAGCTGGGGTACAGACCACAGGTGTGGGGGGTGAGAGGATCCACCAGAGACAGAGTGGGGAACAGAACAGGCAGACTGACTGAAATACACTGCTGAGGGGAGCAGTGGGTGAGACAGGAGAGGTCTGCCTCACCATGTGGGTTTCTGTCTGGCGGGCTGGGGATCCAACTCATGCTGTAGAGGCTGTGGATTGCTTCATAGTGCAGTGCTTAACCCCTTGTGCCACCAGGGAGGCCCTTCACTCTATTTTTAAATACTGTTTCCGTGGCATTTCGCTGAATGCCTCAAGGGAGTTGTAGCTGAAACTTCTGAGCAGGTGCCTTGAAGAATCTGCTCCTTTGCAAAGTCTTCCCCGGTTCCAGTTCATCCCCAGATTCCAGTTCATCCGGGTTTCAGTTCTGGTTGGCGACAACCCACCCACCGTACTCAGGAACAAGCTGGGCTCTCCCCCCTCTTTTCACACCTGCTAAACTTTTCTCTGAGGCGTTTCTTGGAGCATTTCTCACAATTAGCAACTTAAAAAAATTGGCTGCAGTTAGTGATAGGAAAACAAAAGATGCGTTTGGCCCCAGAGAGCTTTGGGATTTGTTATGAAGAACTTGATCCTGCTAAACTTTATTTTCAAATGTGTCATTAGCTTTTCCATACTCTCTGGGTTATTAAAGACACAGCATAGTCTCTTGCTTAGCTTAAAAAGAGATGTTTTCACAAATTCTACTTCTCCTGGAGATGTTCTTGGCAGATTTCTTTTTCAAAGCAGGAACAATTCTGCTAGCTCTGAGCTGATGCTGGCTGGCCTAGGCAGTCTATTTATGAGGAATTCTCACTGTCTTCTCATCTCCACATCAATCCTGTGAAATGGGTGCTATGATTACTCCCCATTGTATGGATGAGGAAACTGAGGCACAAGAGGTCAGAGCCTGCCCAGAATTGCACAATGAACAAACAGCCTGGTTGGGGTTAGATCCCAGGTGGGAGTCAGTGCCCCTGACCACACTTACCACCTGCCACTCCAAAGCGGGTACAAGCAGGGGCTATCTCAGCTTCAGTACCGGCCTGTACCACCTCCACATTGTGCTGCTCTGGCTTCCTTTCTGCCCTCAGCCTGCCCCCCCCCCTTCTTTCTACCTGGGGCACTTTGCCTCGGAACCCTCCCTGCTGGGCTCCTAGCCATTTTGGTTCCAGGTTAAAATCCCTGTTTCAGGGGCCCTAAGCAAATGATAACGTATTAAAATAGACCCAGCACCCCATCCATAGCTCAGTGCCAAGACCAGTGTAGGGTTTGGACAAATTTTTGTTGAGTGAATGCACAGCAAGTAGGGAGCAGAGCCGAGCCTTTGTTCTCTAGACCCCAGAGGTTCAGTGGCTGGACTGTCATGCAAAACACCGCAGACTGGGTGGTGTAAACAACAAAAAAATTATTTCTCAGTGCTCAGGAGGCTGGAAATCCAAGATCAAGGCGTCAGCATGATTGGGTTCTGGTGAGAGAGCTTCAGCTGTCTTGAAGAAGGTCACCTTTTTACAAGGAGAGAGGCTGGGGAAAGGTGGGAGAAGAGAGGGGGACAGAGAGAAAGAGAAAGAGAAAGAGAATGCTTATAAGGGCTCTGATGCCATTCACAAGGGCTCCACACTCATGACCTAATTGTCTACCAAAGTCCCCATCTCCAAATGTCATCACACTGGAGATAAAGGCTTTAAATATGAATTTTTGGAGAAACAAGCATTTGGTCCAGAAGACAGATGAGCCATTTCATTCCTGCCTGTGTGCCATGTGCTGGGTGTGCTCCAGAGAGTCCCTCT